TGTTTGCCTGTAAAAAGATGCATGATGTATCTCTCTGAAAAAGCAAAAAAGGAGATCTAATTTTTGCTTTCAACAGTTTGAAAGGATAGTAATAGGAAACGTGTACCTTGTCAATGATGACGTATTTCCTAATATGCTATTCCTTTTGAGCTCACCGTGGTGTAATGAATAAAGCCTGACAGAGCAACAGCATTCTGCCTGGCTGTGTTATGAAATACAGGAGTATTCCAGCTAAATGCTGATGCTTTGAATTATGGTGGTGTCCAGAGATAGGAGCTTTTCATCTAGGCCTACACTGTGGTTTTCATTGCCTTTTAAAAAGGCTCAAACTACATGGAATATTCTACTATAGTGCTGTCTTTAAGGCCATATACATTACAATATTTTAAAAAAATAAATAAATGTGCACTGCTTTTTTCATTGTGCATTGTGGCATGTGAGGCTGGGTTTTAAAAGTAGCATCTTTTAATCTGTAGTAATGATGATTCTGCACATGGGATGAATGAGTATCATTTAGTTCTCTGGAAATACTCAGACTGCTATACTGAGCTACAGTCCAGACCTCAATATTTGCTAATGTCGAATTAATTAGTGTAACTCTTGGCAGCTGACACAGTTCAGGGAATCAAGAATGTATTTGTGGTCAGCTGTGGCTCTCATCTGGTGACACAACTCTGGCTATAAAAGCAGAGCTGGTGCACCAGGTTGAGAATTCACCTCTATCTGGATGGTAAAGTTATTTGTGCTCCAGTACTTGAGGCTTTGAAGCAGTCTGAGGTTTGCTGTTGATGATGCATCTTGGCGAATGAACAGCAATGCACTGGCACCAGCTGACAGACCTGTTTTACTGGAGTGAGTGAAAATCTGGGAGTTCCCTTGTCAAAGTATGAAATGCTAGTGCTCAGGCAGATGAGCAAAGTGAGTTCGGGGCCATCTTCTAAAGCAGTTCTTTTCATCATGTTCTTTGCTTCTTCTGGGTATATAATTGGAGCAATGTCCTGCAAGTAAATTCATTTTGAAGAACTTTCAGATGCTCAAAGGATTTTTGTAATTCCATGATGGGTTTTCTACATTTTGTGTTTCTGGGAAAACCGCTGTCCGCTTCCTTCGTGTTTCATAAGTGATGACTGGGTTTAAACTGCTGGTGAGTATAATGGGAGAAAGAAAATCTCTTTACCAGACTAGAGTCAAGATACAGCTGGCTCTGTTATAAAGTCTGCTATAAGCTGCCCTAGGCAAAAGCAACGTGATGCATCTGTCCCACTGCCAGAATGATCTATATAATGTTGATATCAAGACATTGTTTAGATCTGTCCTGTTCAAGCCTGTTAATGGTTGGACTTGGTGATCTTAAAGGTCTTTTCCAACATAAATGATTCTATGATTCTATGAACTTGTGAATCTCTGTTCTTAGTTACAGTAATACTTGGGCAGTGGCATGGAGTGAGGCAGATAGAAAGGAACAAATGTAAAATATAGCAAATTTCCAAATTTCTACAGTTGATATTTTCAGTGAATGCATCACCATTTCTTTGTGTTGACCGCCTGCTGTTTTCACTCCCCTTTCTCTGCATGCTCGATATTTTTCTCCAATCTGTCCCTTTCTCCTCGCCTGTCATGATGGGACAGAGGTACTGCCTCCTGTCTTCATCTTCTCAGAGCTTGCATTAAAGCAACCTCATTGCTCCGTTCCTCCCCAGCAGTATGTATGTGTTAATGATTCTTTCTCATCTCCCCTTCCCCCATTCTCTCTGTGCTGTGGGTAGATATATATATGTACAGTAATGTGCTATCTCTGATGATCTAAGTAGAAATACTGCATGCACAAGGTATGAAATAGAGTCAATATTGACCTATACATATATATGTACATATATATATGTACATATAAAAATTTATATATGTTGGATGCCTAGTATCTTTCATTGTACAAGATTCTTGTATGGTCTTTTTATGATGTGAAATAATACATATTTTATTGTAACTGGCCCTTCAAACTCTGTAAGGAAAGCTTTTTAACTGAAAAACCCAACATTTTCTTCATGAAATTCTGTTAGGATCAGCTGTGCTTTGAACTGTTAAAAACTGTCATTTCTGTTGAATGTTTTCCTTGGGACATATTTTGAGTATGTTAAAATAATATCTAGAGAGAAAAAGTAGGAAGAATAGCATCTGCTATACTTGGAGGGTCTGAGAACATGGATCTGAGTCCATCTGCTGCAGGTCACTGCCTTCCTCTCCTGATGTGCAGGCTGCAATGTGAAAAGTTCATGGTACAGACTGCTGGAGGAGGGGAGGAAGAGAGTGTTATTGTTAATAGTTTACTGTTCTCTTTTTGCAGAACCAGCCTTGGAAATATGTACCAAAATCCCCCCTAGAACAGATGACTCTGCAATTAATACAATCTTTATTTTTCCCCCTCAAGTTAGGAAATAGCAGTGCATTCCCTGTGTGTGCAACTCAGCTCCTGTCACCTCTGCAAATACTTTATCATGCAGACTTTGGATTTTAATATCCTTAGCAACAAACTGGTTTTTTCCCTAAAATATTATTTTCTCTTTTAGTGTGTAGGTTAGACACGAGACTAACAATTGCATTGTCTGTGCTACTAACATATGCCCAGTACACAGAGCAGACTGAGCACATTAAGTTCATCCGCATTGCTGGATATTAAAAAAAACAGACTTGCTGCTCAGTTTCAGAGCTCTTACAGGACGTGATAATGGATTTAATAGATGTGAAAACTGCAGCAGGGGAGTAGGCAGCTATTTGTTCTCCATGCCCTTACTGGATAGGGCAAGAAGTGTTGGCCTTAAAATTGCAGCAAGAAAGATTCAGATTAGGCTTTTAGCGAGACTTTCCAAAGGCAAAGACAGTAAAGGGCTGAGATAGTTTGTGTGCAGAGACCATACATTTTTGGAATTCTTTAGCAGGTTAGATAAATATCTGTCAGGGACCAAGTATTGATTCATATCTTGAGTGTTGCCCTTTCCAATGCAACAAATTAAAGCTTTGTGTGTAGAAGAGCTCAGCTGGAGATAAGTGATGTTGAAGTGAGCTGGCATGAAACCAGCCCTGCTTGTGCCTAGCACATCCAGACCGGTTGGAGGAAAGATTGGGTTTATACTAAGGCACAATGCAAGAACTTCACCCTCATCCCCAGTACAGCTCCAGAACTTTATCTAAGCCTGTGCCTGACAACATGCTTGCATGCAAGTGGTATGATGGCACGAGAGTCTAGCTTGGACCTGTGCTTGATTGAGAGTCTTTTTATATCTTTTAGGGTTACTCTGGCTGCTGTAAATCTGCCTTTTCCAAATTTTGAAAGTTTGGTTGCGAACAGTCTTTTCAATGTAATATTTTTTCAGTATGTGTTGCCACATAGCTGGCAAGGTTTGATATTCTCTGGCATTTGCACAGTATTCTGTTTCCCAGACAGTTCCACTAATTTCAGGTCATGCTGTTGAGTCCAGTGGATGTAACCAAAGCACGAGGCTTTGCCCAACAACAGTGAAGGATGTAAAGTGGCCATAATCCCAGTCATGAGGTGTGCTTTTAAAATAGTGAGCAACCATGATTCGTTTAATCCTTACTTTCTTATTTTGGAATTTATTTGTTGTTGGTTTTCCTTTCTTGTTATCAACAATGAGGAAGATGCTTTCTATAAAAACCTATTTATCGTATTTATTAGGATGGAGAGGGTAAAATGAGTCAGTAAATGTGAAGCATAATTTTATGTCTCCAAGTCTTACCCCAGTATTGCTTTTTGAACAAGCTTTACTCTAAGTTTCTAGCTGCAGGTGTAAACTAGCTAGCAATTTCCACAGCCCACAGTGTGGCTGTGTGAAGGAAGCCAAATTCCAGTCCAGGTCCGCAGTCTTTCCATATGAGTCTGTCTTCTTTTGGGAATGCTCTGGAGCCACCGCAATGTGTGTGTATGAGTTGAAGTGAAGGTTTGCTGGAAGACTGACCACGGAAGCAGAAAAATATTCATACATTTAGTTGTTTGCTAGCATGGTTTAGTACTCAGGCACTTAACTGAAAAACAACAGCAGGTAAACCAAAAGTTGAGCAGAAAAAGTTGACATATTTTTTATCTATTTTAACAGAAAATCATACGGTAGGAAGAAGTACAGGAGAAAAGAAATGAAAACACAATTTTGTCAACTGCTCTTTGATATTTCTCTCTAAGCCCACCTCTGAGAGTGATGTGGTTATATGAGAACTTGTGGCTTCTTGAAAATCTGTGTGTCTGGAGGCTGAAAATCCAGAAAGAAAGTATAAAGAATGGGAAATGTTGATTTTATAATGTGGGATTATTTTTAGGCTTGTTCCCAAAATAGGGAACCTGCCCTATTGTATTTTGAGTCCTTGAATAAACTGAACATTTTGAAGAAGTTATAAAAGTGAATGTGCTTAAAAGCAGTGGATTTGAAATAGAAAATGTTGGGTGTAAGTCAAAAGATGCATTGATGGCAAAGTGTATCATATATTCCTAGTAAGCTACACAGTGCGGGGAGGGTCCATTTCAGCAAGGACTATATATATCTGGGATATAAAGAAAGACATACTTAAAGTATCATTGTGGGGAGGAGAGGCCAAAGGTATTCCTTCATTTTTTAAAGCAGACTAGGGCCCCTCTTAGCATGTAGATTCACAGGTTAATTAGGAGTTCAGGTTTTAGGCCATTCATCACAGGTTTCAAAACGACTTTCTTCCTTTCTCCACCTGTCATGTACGCAGCTGCTCGGTTAGACACGTAGCATGGTAAGTGCATGCATACTTCTCTGTTAACCTGTGAAGTTGTGCTATACATTGTGGGCAGGACGATTCCCAGATCAAGACCTTTAGCCAATGGCGGCAGCTCCTTTGCGCGTTGAGCTCGGAGGGCTGACCTAACTGAAACCGCGAGCTGGGGAAAGGCTTGTTCACTTGCTGAAAAGGGTCTGCTAGGCTGCAGTATTTCCCACCCCACTTCTCTGATGGATTCTCTCTCGCAGGCAGGAATGGCATCTCCTGAAAATCCCGAGCAGTTGATCATTGCCCTGGAACCCGAGGCTGCCTCTATCTACTGCCGAAAGCTCCGCCTGCACCAGATGATAGACCTGAGTAGTAGGGCGCCTGTCAATGGTTATAGCCCAAGTGAGACTGTTGGAACTGGATTTACACAGGGTACTTCTTCTATTAACTCACTTCTTTAGATTCTTATGCCTAAGTTTGTTTTGTCCATGAGGGCTTTTATTACCATTTCTTGTTGTCTTTGTTCTCTTGAAATGTTTCAGGCTAGGATCAGTTTGCTTTTATAAACTGTTTCACTGTTTACTGTAATTAGACTAGTTTAGGCATTGATCCAGCAGACATGTTTGCACACACTTGAATTTTAGCACACAGGTAGCTTCATTGCCTTGCCTTTATTGGGATGTTGTGGGAGTCTTTTAGTATTTTCACAACAGTGTTTTTCTGCCTTCATTAAAATCAATGCTTTGTGTTGGATCTTTTTTTTAATTTAATTTGTTGGAAACAATTATGTGTTCGATTAGCTGCATTACTGAAGCAGTGTTGAGTAACTGGATCTGCAATGAGACTTTTAGTCTGAGGTGTTCCAAAGGTTTGGCAGATGTTTTTTGATGTCATCTTTATGAAATATCATTAACTACTTTCAACACTCAGGGGAACACCTGGTATTGGAATATAGCAATGGATTCATTTGCTTGCAGAAGAGCAACTAGATGAAGCAATTCTGATTTATTGACCTGGGATCTGTTGCTAATATCAATGTTTGAAGACTGACTTACAATGAGGGACAGAGATTGGACCACAGTGTAAGTCACTCGCTAAATGATCCTTCGTCACCAAAGATTTTTGAGCTTGGGATCCTACCTGAGATTGGAGGAAAACAGGAGAGAATAAACAAAAGGGAAACCAAGCAGCAGTAAGATGTGATTGCTGCATAACGCACAGAGTTCCCGTCTGTGTGAACTGTAACAGTTGCACTGATATTGGTGGTAGTGTGCCAGTCTATCCCAGAAGGAATTTTTCAGAAGAATTTGTATTTTATCACATTTACTAGGTCAAAACAGTACAGGCAAATGGAAGATTAAGCTAGTAAAGCTATTCCTGTACTTACCGGAGGGTATTTTTTTTTAGTTAGGCGGAATCACTACATCATTTTCTCATATCTGTGCGTCTCCTAGCCAGCACTTGTCAGATGTGTTCAGTGTTATGGAGGCCCATGCAGAGCACAGGACGCAATCCATTTTCAGGATGGTCCCTTCAGGGGCCCCTCGCCTTCTGTCCTCCTCATTCGTGTCCTGAACCATTCCAGTTCCATGCAATTTTACATGAACTCACTTTCAGGCTACACAGGGATTTGCCTCTGGGAAAATGATAAAAGAAAAGTTTCTCTGGTTAAGGTTTTGAAGCTGGCAGAATCTGGCAGATCATGGATTTCTGCTAACGGGCTTTTTCTTGGATGGGGGCACCATTCTCCTTCCTGACTTTGTATGGTAAAAGCTATTGGGGGATGAGAAAGGTTTCATGTCAAAATTAATGAAAACAAAGTTTGCAGTGAATTAATTTGGGGTTAGAATTAAAATTTCATAAAGGCATGGCAGGCACCCAAGACAAGCTGAGAACAGATTAAGGAGAAAAACCCTTTAAATATAAACAGAGAGAAGCACTCCAAGGACCATGTTATTGCTGTGAAGTCAAAACAAAAATTTGACTGTTCATAGTAGCCAGGATAACCTTACTTCGTATTTAAAGAGTGGCTCTTGTGTTCACTTCTAGCCCACAGGAGTGAATGAAAGGACTCCCATTGACTTCTGTGGGCTCTGTGTCAGGCCCTTGCTTGGACCTAGAGCTTGTTCTGTCATTGAACGCTTCGTCGTTTAAGCTCTCGCTGTGTGCTGCTAAGTCAGCACAGCGAGGCTGACACGGCTTGTCTGCATCGTAGGGTCTTTATGGGGAGCGTACAGGTGCAAGTGGAGCCGCTGGTCTTTCTCTGATGGTAGGCACTATAGAAACAGGAAGGCATTCAGTGACTTGTGTGCTGATGTTTTCAGAAAGAATGATGTTTTCATGCATGACAGGATGCCTCTCTCCTTCTGTAGTGTTTTATACAAGTGCCTTTGAAGGTGAGTGAAGGTTACACAGGGAATGATTTTTTGATCATTCAGTTGTAGGGGTTGGTTAAGAAGCATGATAGCAAAGGCTCTCGCTACTCTGCTTTCTCTTCACAGACTGTTCTGCATCTTGTAAAATAAGTTATTGTTATAATAGTATTGCTAGATTATGCTTAATTTTTAATTGGTGTATATTTGAAATATTATGAGGGTCAGACTTGGTGATCACTGTGCCCCTAAGAAGTTATAAATCTGAGAAGCAGTGCTTTTGGCTGCTTGTTTTGAGACAGATCAACGTCCTGAAGGGCTTGGGAGGCGTCTTTGCCTAAGCACCCAAAATCAGCAGTGGTTTTTGGAAATGTGGGGATTGTCTCCCCGGCCCCGGGCAGCACAGGTTGGTCTGGCAGCGGGCCGGGGCTGCCACGGGGTGGCAGAGGCTGTGCCGAGCACAGCTGGCTACGAGCCCACCCGGTTCCAGGTGGCACTTTAAAAACCTGAATATTATAAAAAAAGAATCAGACCTGTTTATAACTTTCATGTTAGGTTATTGGTTTTAATCCAATTAGTATCAAGGAAGATCAGTGTGGCTGAAAAACATTTTTCCTTCTATGTAGGAACAACATTATGATGTTCCCAATTCTAATGCAATAATTTTTGTTTAAATTAAAAAAAAAAATTTTTTTGTTAAGAAGTGATACATACAGATCTGTCAGCCTGCTTGCACTTGTTTCCTGCAGCTTATGATATCAACTTCTTCATGCTTTCTTATACTCCGTAATTTTTTCTCTGTCAATGACTAGCTAAGGAACATGTCCGTCGTAATCGACAGAGTCGTACCTTTCTGGTGGAAAATGTCATAGGAGAGATCTGGTCCGAACTGGAGGAAGGTAGTGTCCTTTCTTGAATAAACTTTGCTCTCACTGGTTCTATATTGCAGGCAAACATTGTGTTTCCCACAAATGTGCTGTGCACTGCATTGTTCTCACAGTGATTATAAATAGGAAAAGAAAAAAATAGAAGTTCATGTGCTGGTCTTAGTTACTAAGGCTGAACTGCTATTCTGTATGCTCTAGCAAAATACAGTGTATTAAGGAGATGGTAGAAAGGAATCCAGGTGCTAATATGCAACCAGAATATTTTCCTCAGAATAGGCCTTGTAAAAATGCCATAGTATTACTTTGGTAACGTAGTAGGATGTACACCAGCAGCATGAGCAATTCTACTAAACCACTTCTCATCTGTGCTAAATCAATAGCTTTTGACATCTGATTTTCATATTTATTGTCAATCATTGCATTATAATTACTAAAAAAGATCAAGTCTTCAACATAGACATTCATGACTTTCTGTAAGTCATTATCTCTCATGATGATAATGCCCCTGAGAAGTTTTCATTGCAATATGCTGTTGTCATAATGTTAATGTAAATACCATTTGCCTATTCCTTTGGCAAACTAGGTGACCGTTACATCGTCGTTGACAGTGGAGGAGGCACAGTGGATATGACTGTCCATCAGATAAGGCTCCCTGAAGGACATCTTAAGGAGCTATACAAGGCAACAGGTAATGTCACTTCCACTGCTTGCTTTATTTATGTAATATTTTTACTTCTCAGTGAAGGGAATGTATGCCTTTATTATTCACTACATTTCACTAACAGTTCTTCCTGAAATAAGACCAGCATTCAAAATTAGTATAACCTAGCTACTGGTCAGTAGACAAGGGTAAAACACTTAATGCTTTTGGCGCTTTGGGATGGTAAAACTCATGTTTGAAGGGTGAGGGACTGCCATCTCCTGTGTTATTCACTCCCATTCAGGCCATGACCTCCTGCTGTGGTCCTGGTCTGACTTCTGCTAGTAGTCATCATCTTCTTGTCCTTTGAGAGGTCACCTGTGTATTGCTGCTCTGTCCAGGTATTCAGAGAGGTACTGTGGAGATATGAATAGCTGAGTGTTACAAGGATCTTGTCTTGACTGTTGACAGAACAGAAGTTTCCCTAGATTTCAGGGGAAGCTTATCTATTCCAGTAATTTCAAGACAGTGTAGCAAGAAAGTTCTATTGTACCCTGGGAAAAAGGTACAATGATTGGCCCGCAACAAAGATATAAAGTACAATTCCTTGAACAGTATTCCCTTCCTGAATTCCAGATCCCTTTTGACTTTGTCCTGTGACTAAGCTGTTGCCCACATAAGACAGCCTGTTATTTGTTCCTCTGTCTCCATACTGAGTTAGTCTTCATCTGTATGGTTCATCACTGAGCATTCTCAGTCTTGGTGGCTGTAAGATGACCTCAGGAAACAACCTAGTAAGAGCAAATGGGGCACCGTACATCAAGTCTGTCTACTCCTGAATAGGAGTCCAACTCACACCTTCTCATGTGTGGATAAGGAGGCAGTTTCCTTTGCTTCTAATAAAAAATGTTTCTGTTTTATAGTGGTAATGTTACAGTGGCTATGATGGTATAGGAGTTAAAGTGAAGCAAAGGTAAGATTGTGTTCTGTATTAGACCAACTGTTATATTTAGAAAAGATAACCTCTTTCTGTAGACCTTCTCCTATGGCAGTCCTAGTAGTGTCAATCTGATGTGTATTTGGTCAACTTGAAATCTAGTAAGCAGTTCAGAATGTTAAAGCTGTGTTTTGTTTGTAATACAGGTGGACCATATGGGTCTCTAGGTGTGGACTATGAATTTGAAAAGCTCCTGTGTAAAATATTTGGAGAAGATTTTATTGAGCAATTTAAAATCAAGCGTCCTGCTGCCTGGGTAGATCTGATCATAGCATTTGAGTCCCGTAAACGCGCAGCAGCTCCAGACAGGACCAATCCACTAAACATCACTCTGCCTTTCTCCTTCATTGACTATTACAAGAAGTTTCGAGGTCACAGTGTAGAACATGCCTTGAGGAAAAGCAAGTGAGTAGATGATTGAACCCAAATGGATGCAGAATTAACTACTGATCGCAAAGACAAATAATTAAAATACCCTAATTACATGTAGACTGAAAGATAATAATGTAAAAATGTAATGTAAGGATGAGAAAATGGGATTGTCTGAAGTGCAGTTTCCAGAATGAAAAGTTCTGATCGATCTCTTGCAAAAGCTTTTCTACACAAGACTTGCACTCTCCTGGTATTGCTTTCTATGACTTTCGTTAGGCCACCACTGCATCACTTTCCTGAATGTGACCATATATTTTGAGTCTCTTACGTGTTAATTAGGAAGGTCAGATCAAATACAGGATTTGATGTCTCAAATTAGTTACCTAGCAGCTTAAGGCCCAGAGGCCTTAACATCTTGAGTGAGATGTGTAAGTATATTCATGACTTGAGGAAAGTTATGAATAGTACAAGATCACCAGTGAAAACATACACTGTTGCACAGAGCTCTGCAAGAGGAAAGCATTCTTCTGTTGAAGTCACGGCAGGCTTTCTTTTCTCCTAGTATGTTACAGTTAGATCCTTTGCTCAGTAGATGGGGAGACATAATTCCCTGCAGAGGTTTTAATTCCTCGTTGTAAGTATCAACAAAGCACCCTAAATGACGAGGTCACGGGCTGCTATGCAAAAGGAAGTGAGGAGAAAGTAGAAGTGGACATTCTGCATCTTTTGAAGTTATATACTACAGGAGACCTGGAGGTTAATGGCATCAAAGGGAATGAACAAGAGAGCCTGTGAATCTGGGGCAGAATGCTTGGGACCTGAGAGCGGAAGACATGATATTTAGTACCTGTACCTTGGCTTCTTTCTGCGTTTTTTTAATCCAGTGAATGTTGAATGTAGCATGCAGGCTGAAACTCCTGCATCTCTTCCTAAAGTTATTGGTAAATGTACTTTAAGCCTAAATGACTTGGAATGCAGCTCGGAGTCACTTCCTAAATGAGACCGAGGTTCTGAAATCATTAAAAATTTCTGGAAATACTCCCCCTCACAAGACCATCTCCTTCTCATTAATAGTCTTAATGGTGAATTTTAGAGGGAATGCTAAATGTTCCCTTCAAATAAAATAAAATTAATTGGATAACGGGATAGAAAGAGTATAAAGGTGACATATAATGTGCATGAATGAAAAGGAGATTACTGAGCTATATGGATGTGCATCAGTGATGGAATAACATAATGCCTGTGTTCACTTAACAAATGTTATGCCTCATTAAAAATGCTGTGTGCCCTTCTGCCTCCTGAGGCTTCCCATACTTGCTTGTGTGTTTCCAGTGGCTTTGGCCTGCTGCTGCTATAATCTAAATGTTGCCCTTCTGGGAATGAATCAGTGTTGTTTCAGATGAGCGGGCACTGAATTGGCTGCCAGCTGTTTCAGGAAGCAGCTGAGCATTGGTAGTGCTACAGAAGGCAATCAGGCAAAGAAAACAACAATTAGAGAAGCAAAAATAACAATTCTCCCTTGAAATTTTACATTGCTGCAGTTGGTATGGGGCTAGGGTGAGGTGAAGCCCTTTCTTCCAAGCAAAATGCATGCAGATTCTGTAAACTCATTAATTTATTTATTCATTGTGTCTTGTGAGTGCTTGGCTGTTCCTTACAGCTCAGCTGTAATGTTTTCATGTCCTTCCTAACTGTTCTTTTCCAGTGTGGACTTCGTGAAGTGGTCCTCCCAGGGAATGCTGAGGATGAGCCCGGATGCAATGAATGCTCTTTTCAAACCTACAATTGACCAGATTGTTCAGCACCTTAGTAAGTGTCTGTGTGTAACTCCACTTTCTGGCTGAGCTGAAACTGAAGCTTTGCTTACCTGTTTCAAACCAATAACTGGAACTAAAGTAAAACAACCCCACTAGTATGCACCAAATGTGGGCAAGGAATTTAGTTCTGAAACTTGTAGTTCTCTACAAAGTAGTTAGGAAAATAATAAAAATAGAGGACATTACACATTGAGTGTGATTTAGTCCTGTTACTGCCTAAGCTTAAATTATTCTGCGCATTCAGGGCTGCGAGCCTTCAGAAGGCTGAAATGCACTGACTAACCCAGATCCTGCTTTTCTTTTTCCTGTTTCAGGCAACAACTAAATAATGCCAGGGACGTAACTAGTTTCTAATTATTCCTGTTATTAAGACCTCTAGTTCAGTTCTGCTCAGTGGAAGGACTTAAAAAGTCACATTTGTTCATGACTGTCCAAATCACTGACATCTCTAAAACACAAATACTAAATGATGCATCATGCTAAAAGTACTTCCAGACATGGCTTAAGCAGCACTGAATTTATTTATGCAGTAATGGGAAGTGACATAGGCTTATCAGGAAATTTATTATTTGAAGTCTTCCTGGTGGAAGATTGGATTTGTATCAAGTAAAGTATTATATATGTACTGAGCAAAGTATTGCTGTTCTACACATTACAAAGCACTAACTGAATTGTATTTGGAGTGGAATATCCACCTTTACTCGCTATATATGCGGAATTAGTAGATAAATTTTGAGAGCTCACAACTTAGTACAGAGCAGCTTATATGTGAGGAGGGAGGTAGAGGTCTAGAATTACAGTAGTTGTGACAGATACGTCAGTCATGCTGCCTTGGTTATTTGAACTAAGGGTGAGCATACAACTGAACTGTATGATTTTCTTGAAAGTAGGGGTGTGGGCTTAAGCTAAGAAGGAACATCTGTAAAAATGTAAGGAGGTATTATTTTGCAGTCGGTACATGTTGTGGTTAAGATGTTAGGGTCAGAAATAGTAAGTGAATTTAAAATGGAGTGACTTATCTGGAATGCAGTAAAGGATATGTGAATCAGTTAGGTTTGGGAATATCTCACTGATACTTGAAGTGGCAAGATGGTGTCTGTTTCCCTACCACCCGTGATGTGACTGCCAGGATTTCTTTGCAAGAAATCCATGTCTCCCTTCACTGATAGAAGCTAAATAAAAATTCTGGTTTAAGTGCCACTTTAGAAATATTGCATGCTTTGAGGTAAGTTTCCATTTGCAGTGAAACAGACTACAGCAGAGACTGCAGAAGTGGAACTAGTGCACGCTGGCAGTGGCAGTGTGGGCATAGATGCAGCAGTTTCAGATCTTGTGCATGTGCATGGGATGTTCAGTGCACTCAGGCATTAGGAGATTCATCTGCATTGCCTTGTCACAGTGGATTTTCCCCTATTGAATGGGCTCTGTTTCTGTTTAGGTGATGTGTTTGATAAGCCAGAAGTGACCAATGTCAAGTTTCTGTTCCTGGTGGGTGGCTTCGCTGAATCCCCCTTACTCCAACAAGCTGTCCAGAGCGCTTTTGGTTCAAGATGTCGAGTCATCATTCCTCAGGATGTGGGGCTCACTATCCTCAAAGGAGCTGTTCTCTTTGGTCTAGACCCTGCTGTCATCAAAGTGCGGCGTTCACCTCTCACCTACGGTGTGGGTGTGCTCAATCGGTTTGTGGAAGGGAAGCATCCGCCAGAGAAGCTTCTAATCAAAGATGGCACACGCTGGTGCACTGATGTCTTTGACAAATTCATCTCAGCCGACCAATCTGTAGCCCTTGGAGAAACTGTGACACGCAGTTACACACCTGCCAAACCTTCTCAGTTAGTAATAGTGATCAATATCTATAGCTCAGAACAAGATAATGTCAGCTTCATCACTGAATCTGGAGTGAAAAAGTGTGGCACCCTTCGCCTGGATCTTACAGGAACTGATGCTTCAGTGCCAAACCGGCGGGAGATCAAAACACTTATGCAGTTTGGGGACACTGAAATCAAAGCCATGGCCATTGATGTTGCCACCTCTAAAAGTGTCAAAGTTGGTATTGATTTCTTAAACTACTAACAGCCCATTTCCCCCACCACAGCCTGTTTGTGCGACTGATCTTCCACTATTCCATTTTTTGACTTTCATATATCATATAATCAACTTGAATTTCAGCAGGCTATATGAGAACAGCTAGTAAGGTGGGGTATGTCATGTTTGTGCCCTTTGATGACCAAAGACTGGATTTTGAAAGACCCTTAAAAAGTTTTGGGAGCAGAAGTTCCAGAGGTAGTAAAAGTTCCCAAGTTACTCAAGCATGCTTAAAGATCTACGTTTATTAAGTAAATCCTGATTATTGTTGGGTCCTGAAGATTAGTTAAAAAGATAAAATCATAATCTCTTTGCTTTGTTCTTCCTCTTCCTCCCAAGAAAAACTCACTAACCCATGTGGTGGTTGTAGGGGGCGTATCTGTTTAAACAGCACCATCCTCTGGCAATGGGAACAAATTCGTAGTCTATAGTATTTTGTTCTTTTGATTTTGTCCTGTGCTTTCAAAATTTTAAATGCTGAAAATCAATGACTTAAAGAAGTGGGAACTCAATTTCTTAACTTCTGAGATTCCACTGGAAAGAAAGTCCTCAGAAATCCTTAAAATTACATTTAGGAAATACATATATAAATTTTAGGAGCCTGATATTGCTTGCTCAGGTTTGAAAACAAGGCCTTTATTGTCAAAGCTCTCAGAACTAGCTGTTGGATTAAACAGCTAGCATTACCCTCATTATACTTTGGAAGATTATTAAGAACATAGCTATTTCCCTTTTTGGGTCTTCGAAACTTATTTTTATTAGTCTCCATCTGAAATCATAGAATTACAGAATAGTTGAGGTTGGAGGTGACATCCATTGACTACCTGGGCCAACCTCTCAGCTCTACACAGTGTCAGCTAGAGCAGGATACTCTGTCCAGTTTTGAGTATCTCCAAAGATGGAGATGCCTAAACTTGTCTGGGCAACCTGTTCCAGTATTTGATAACCCTCACTGCAAAAAAGTTTTTTCTTACGTTTAAACGGAATTTCTTGAGTTTCAATTTGTGACCATTGCCTCTTGTTCCTGGACTGGATACCTCTGAGAAGTCGGGCTCCATCTTCTTTTACTGTCTTCTATGTGGCATTTACACACATTCCTAGCGTCCTCTGAGCCTTCTCGAGCCTAAACAGTCTCAGCTCTCTCAGCCTCTCCTCACATGACAGCTACTCCAATCCCTTAATCATCCTCATGACCCTTTGCTGGACTCAGTCTAGTATGCCCCTGTCTCTCTTGTACTGAGAAGCACAGAACTGGACCTGGCGCTCCAGATGTGGTCTCACCAGGGCTGAATAAAGGGGAATAATCACTTTCCTTGCCCTGCTGGCAATGCTCTTCCTAATGCACACCAGCAGACTATTGGCATTCTTTGTTGCAAGGGCACATTGCTGGCTCACGCTTAACTCTGTGTCTACCAAGCAGCCAAGGTCTTTTTCTGCCAAGCTGCTTTCCAGCCAGTTGGCCTGCCGCATATACTGGCACATGGGGCTATTGCACCCCAGGTTCAGGACTTTGCACTTTGCTTTGTTGAGCTTTATGAGGTTCCTGTCTGCACGTTTCTCCAGCCTGTCGAGGTCCCTCTGACCCATCTGGTTTATCAAGCACTTCTCCATGTGATTATATTTCTTTTCATGTTAATCCCTGTGTTAAGATTTGGAGGTACAATTTAGATGATGGCTGTCCAGGAAGATTTAAACAACTTAAAAGAGAGAAAATGTCCAGATCAAAAAGAGAGAAAATATCCAGATCAAAAGTACCATGATCTATTTTGAGTAGCATACATTTTAATTGAGTAAAATATATTTCTGGATTGAGTTGAATGGCCAGTAAAGTGGAAGGCAGAAGCCAAGAGAATGAAACTACAAATAGCATTAAATAAAGCATTCCTTACACGGCTATGAGCACACAATTGTAATGCAGATGAAATACAGTGATGGTCATGACAATATCTTCTTTTCCAAATAGTAACTTTCTGGAAAAGTTTTCTTAAGCACATTCACCTGGCAAATTTCTTCTGCAACTGGAGCAGTTTTTATTTTGCAAAATGCTACAGGTGGATAATTTCCGAAACCTGCAGTCTGTATCTGCCATGGACAGCTTCAGATTCAAATCCAGATCCCACTCCAAATTGGCAGACTGATACCAACCTGTAGAATCACCCTAAAATGCTGACACTTTCAGAGCATTTCTGCAGAGCTGCCTGATTACCTGCTGGAATTCATTACATTTTTGAAACTTTGCAATGTTAATTGTTAAACTAAACCTTAATTTCTAAGAAGTTGAGCATGAGTTAAGTCCATTACTGACACTTTTGGGAAATGAAAATTTTATCAATTTTTTCACTAATTTATGTTCCAGTCCTGCACTTAGGCTTTCTGTGTTTAGCCTGGAGTTTTGCCACAGTGAAGAGCTGCAGGACTGGTCTACTGCATTTTGCCATTGAGTTGTCTGTGTCTCCTGCAGAATTCCCTAGTTGAATGTGAAATCTGTTCTGCATTCAGCTTTAAAAAAAAAAAAGAAAAAAGGACTATGGAGAATGCTAGTCACAGTATCCGGCTGGATACTTTCTATAATTACAAAGTGTGCTTGCTAGCATTCAGTTTCCTGCTGCCTGCGAAATGCTTTAAAAGCTAAATACTGGGATTTTTTGTGTGTTGCTTTCCATGGTTTACAAACAAGAGAAAGTTTAAGATGAGTTATGAACAATATAATTTTATGTATATACAATATTTAAATATTGTACAGACTCTTTCTTTCTACAGTGCTATTTTCTTGTATAAAAATGCTCTTCGCCTCTGTTGATTTCATTCAGCTGTTAATTTTAAATAACACAGTTTCTCAATCAGCTTCTGTAATTATAGGCTTTTAAAGATGGTAAGATATGAAATGTAAAAGGCTGATCTTATAATAATAGGAAAGAAATGTTGGTGTGTCAAAGAATACAACATTCTTCCTGCAATGCAAGTCATATCAGTTAAGCATATTACACAGATGCACTAGTATATTGCTGGGATTTTAATTTCTTTGTTTCAGATGGTGACCATGCCATCTCCAGCAGTTCATCATAATAATGGATGAATCCTCCTGTAAAACCAAGTTAAAAATTAGATTGTATGATCTGGATATACAGCTTCTTCACTAGGCTTTGGGGTTTTATTAAGGATCTTCTCTAGTTTAAAACAAAAACAAACCAACAAACACAAAACTACCTTCCAAAGACAGTCAACAGTGATTTATTGGAGCTGCAGGTAAGACCCAGTCTCTGTCTACCACTACCACCTACCAAAAGAGAAAATTCTTAAAGAAAAGTAGGCTTCGGTGTCTTTGCATCCTATGTTAAGCTGAATCGGCCCAATTCTGCACAGATTTGTTTCCAGTGGCCTTAGGTTAACACAGAATTTGGTCTAATAAATGGCTGCAACCACTCCCTCTCCCCCGAAGAGGAGGCGAACTGCAAGATCAGGTGGCCCATGATTTTTGTGCTGTTCTCAGCCTGTCTGCAGGGAATGCTCAGGGTAGTTTCTGCAGCTCTTGGGAAGCATAGTTTCCTGCACAGTAGTGATTCTCTGCCCTTTCTTATTCACCTTTTGTAAGATTCCATCTGGATCCAAGCAGGGGTTTGTTGCTGAAATGACTCTACTGTAACTGTACAATGTGGTTTGCATAGTTTGCACTTCCTCATTTTGTCTGATGAGAGCACTATCAAGCTTATCTTTGCAGAGCACGGAACTACTGAACAAACTCCCAGCTGCCCTTGTTGCCCTCTTTAAATCTAAGAATGGAAAATTAGCTTGTCTCTCTAAGGAATTAGAATTGTAAGTAGAATATTATGCTGTGGTCTGTAGTCTATAACCTGGTTAAACAAGTTTACATTGTAAGTGGCATGTGGATGCCCATTTTGATAAAGGATGTTAGGCTGTTAAAATTAATATGAACTGTATTAGGAAATGAGTCATTTTTAGAATAGTAGTTCTGATACTTTTGCAGGAGATTCCCTGCAGAGTATTTTTTGGAAGAGGTTTCAGATGACGTTGTGCAACTTAGTGTTGAAAAGACAAGGCCTGCTATCCTTAGCAAACGCAGAAGGCCTTGGCAGAAGTTTTGCTCTAAGCAGCAGCTTGCAAGCTTGGGTCCAAGTTACTTAACTCTAGGCTGAAAGTTAGCAGCTAATTGTGATAGAATGATTAATTGTGCTAGAATATGATAAATGTGCAGTGATGGTTAGGACAGTTTACATTGGTATGAATATGCCAATATTTATATACAGGAGTTTTAATGCATTATTATGAGAAGGCTAATTATATATTGCAGAGATTTAATCGCCAAGATAAGCTGCATATTTATGATATGAAGTGGCTTAAGCGGATGAATAGTATAAAAGTTGTTGGGCATAATGTCACAGTACTCACCTGCTTGAAATAGTCTTAAACTGTATTATAAACCCAACCGTTGTGGTCTTGTTCACCTCTGTGCAAGATAAATTCAGATTTCACTGATGTTTGGAGCTGTTCACAACTTGTCTGGATTGTATCTTGAGTGTTCTTGTGTCTTCAGCCATGTCAAATAAAATACAGTAAAACCAATTTTTCTTTTTGGGTGTTACTATTTTTATCAAAACAACTGTAAAAAGAAACCTGATTTCTTTTGAAAGTGAGAAAGGCCAAGTGGTTATACTTGCGTTTGGATACTCCTTCATATGTGTAAGTGAGCAAAAGTGACATCACTGTATATGCTGCTTATCAGATTTCTTCAACCTTGTAGATGCGTGGACACCTAGAGTCTTTGCCGAGGGCTTGCAGGCCCCTGTGCAGCACACGCAGCTCTTCGGCAAGAGGCTGCTGCATTTCTAGTTCACTTGTGTACTTTCTAGGGGACCTCCACACGTGCCTGAGGTAGAATTCCACTGCTGGGGATTACTCAACTTCCACCAAAGTCGGTGTAGCTCTGAGTAGGGTGTCAGTTGGAGTTAAGACAGAAAGATTTTGGGCAATACCAAAAGC